TGCTCTGTCCAACAATCCTCAGCCATCCTGTCACCAGTTTTGCCCAATCTCCATCATCTCTCTGACTCGAAACACCTGTCCACACCCCAGCATCCTATAAACATCCAGTGACTTCTCATCTACTTGGCTTCCCTCTAGTAAGAGCTTGTTTTGTGATAGTTGGGGAGTTTAATAAAGGAATGTCAATATGGTACAGAGGTCTGGACTCTTTGAAGTCTAATTACCAAGAACTCAAGTTGTTTTTCGTTTCATCTGTTCTGGAGGCATCTTTGTTTTCCACGACTCCAGGGAACAGAATGAGATGGCTCCATAACAACCAACAACTATGGAAACGCCACTCCGAGAGAGGATGTCAAGGTCATTTCACAAAGCTTCGGAGACTGTGAGTGTAAATCAAAACCACTTTCCAATGGTTGGCTTTTAGGTTTCATCCATTTTTGATGGTGCAAAAAAAGTAGTGCAGAGGGCAGAATTCAATTTTCTTTTTCATTTTGTGTGTTCATTTCTCACAAATTAAAACCACACTTGTTTCCTAAAGAAACATTTGGAAGATATTTTTTAAATAGCCCAATGGCCAATTATTTGCCCACTTTAACAAATAATTTAGAGAAGATGATTCCTTTTTTCTTGTTGTGTTTAAAATTTATTCCAAAACTTAAAAAGAAGAAAACCAATTGACTAAAATTTTAAAAAGTAAAAAGTTTAAGACAATTAAGCTATAAGACTTTAAGTAAACATTTGTTTAAAGCCTTAATTTCAATTATCTGTATTTCCATGAAGTATTATTGGTAGCTTTGTCATTTAAGATAAAGAGATCTTATCATTGTGTTAATAACTGTCTGTTTGAATATATAAAATGTAAAACCATTATGTTAATACCTGTCTGTTTAAGTAAATGGTATAAATGTCCTTTAACTCTGAATGCATTGATATTTTATGCCAACTATACATATCCTCTGTGTTACCTGATGCTGGACAAATTTATCCACTGATTTATTTATTTTTTTATTTTTAATTGTTGTTCAAGTACAGTTTTCTGTCTTTTACTCCCATCCCAGCCCACCCCCTTAGTGCTCCCCACCTCCTTCCCATTTCCACCCCCCTAGTTTTTGTCCATGTGTCCTTCATACTTGTTCCTGCAAACCTTTCCCTTTTTCCCCTGAAATTCCCTCCCCTCTCCCCTCTGGTCACTGTCAACCTGTTCTCAGTTTCAGTGTCTTTGGTTATATTTTGCTTGTTTGTTTGTTTTGTTGTTTAGGTTCCCGTTAAAGGTGAGATCATATGGTATTTGTCTTCCACCGTCTGGTTTATTTATCCACTGATTTAGGTATAAGACATGTGACTCGATTAAGGAGCTTTCCACAGCTGTCCCTTTTTCACCATTAGGACGTTTCCATGCCAGAGGTCTAACCTAGGTTTGTGGGCAAATAGTTTAGCCTTTTGAAAAAGGTAGGAAGAATTATTGACATAAAGATATTTCCACTTTTTCTTGGTAAGATCCCTAGGGTATGGAAGACATACCTCATTGGACTAGATAGAAGGGGGTGGTGCTAAAAAAACAAAATGCACAAATTAAGGTCTCAATGACTTAGCCTGTCACAGAGCCATCCTGTGGGACAGACACCAGAAGGCAATAGAGAACTTTCCTTCAGTATTTACCTTTGGACAGAAGAGGAACACAGAAGCTAATTAAGAATAAAATTCTTGCCCTGGCTGGTGTAGCTCAGTGGATTGAGCGCGGGCTGGGAACCAAAGTGTTCCAGGTTCGATTCCCAGCCAGGGTACATGCCTGGGTTGCGGGCCATAACCCCTAGCAACCACACATTGATGTTTCTCTCTCTCTCTCTCTCTCTCTATCTCCCTCCCTTCCCTCTCTAAAAATAAAAAATAAATAAAATCTTTAAAAAAAAAGAATAAAATTCTTAAATGCAAGAAAATATTTAGCCTTAAAATAAATGGATTTTTTTGCTAATAAAACACATGCTTTACTATCAGAGGCTATGCAGCTATCACACAGGCTATGAAACTATCACATGAAGAAAATTGAAATGCCAGCTGGAAAGAATAATCAAGGAAATGTTCAGCAGAGACATGAGATGATTAGTAACCATGCCATGGAGGGTACTGAAAATGATGATTTCCATCTATCTATTTATTTTCCATTGTTTAGACATATGGAGAAGGATAACAATGTAGATCATTCAAAGCTACAATTAGTTTATATTGATTTACACTGGGTTTCATGAAATTCTTTAGAAGTTTGATTTTGACATGGAGTTTTGGGTATGACAGCTAGGATTGCCTTCCAGTGTTGGTACATACAGCAATAATGAGAGGTGGAAGAGCAGTGAGTCTGTGAACCCCTCAAGACCAGGCTTAGAGACTCAGTCATGTTTGCAGTCTTGGTGCTCAGCTTAGCATCGGACATTAATGGACACCCATCTGCTACTCTTTGACGGGAACATCCTTAAGGAGGTTAAAGGACCTGAGTATCTTCGGTTGCCGATGTCAACACTACGCAATCGTTTTACTTAATCACTTCTCTTAGAGACATAATGGGGAATATATACAGCAATTCTACCATCATTTCTTCAGTAACAGGGCTGGAATGACTATGGAGTCATGTGGCTCAAGTTCAAATTTCATCTGGGCAGGTTTCTTACCTTCCTTGGAGCAACTCTCCTTGCTGGGGAGTGGAGATGAGAGGACCCGCTGTCTCAGAGGACGGTTGTGAGGATTAAGTGAGATAATCCACGGAGAGTGTTTAGGGGGGTTGTCCGGTCCATAGGAGACATTCAATAAATATCAACTGTCACTGTTACTCTTACTCTAAAATAAAAGTGTAAAATCTATTGATAAATAATTATTAATTTTCTGTCACTGTTTATAAGAAGTTGACACAAACTTGGTAGTTAAAACAAAAGAAACTTATACTTTTATAGTCCTGGAGACCTGAAGTCCTAGTAACACTGGGCTGAGACAAGCTGGCAGAAGGCCCCAGTCTCTCAGAGGCACCTGTGAGGAAACATCCTGTCCCATCCTCGCCTCTTCTGGCCTCTGGGGGCTGCTGACAGTCCTTGGCTCTCGGCCACATGGATCCAATCTCTGCCTCTTCTGTGGTCATATCATCTCCTGTTCTTCTGTGTGTTTGTGTCCATCTTCCTCTGCCTTCCTCTTACGAGGTCACATGATTGCATTTAGGGCCCACCATGGTCATCTCCCAATGTCAAGATTACTAACTTAAGCACACCTGCGAAGTCCTTTTTGGCTGTACAAGGTAACCATCACAGACTCCAAAGATTAAGACCTGGATATTTTGGAAGGACCATGATGTCGCCTACCACGTTGACATTCAGTGCTTCAAAAATCAGAGGATTTGCTTCCCCAGGTGCATATTATGGGAATAGTTTGCTTGTCTTCCCCTTTCCTTCTCCCTCTCATCCAACCCTTACTCACCTAGAGGACTGAGGTGGGCAGCCGCCCACTCTTGTTAAGGGGCTCACTCAAGGTAGGACCTGAATCTCTGTGAGGTTCCGGGGTTCTCTCATCCAGGCAGGAGATCAGGGGTGACTGTTGTGTAAACCAACCAACAAGGTCTACAAGACACCTGGTCTGTAGAAATGTTGGAGGGAGGGTATATTGGGCAGAAGGGGAAAGAGAAGCAAAGAACTCCTTGAATATGTACTACTGGTCAGGCAGTGAGTCCAAGAGTTCCACAGTTTCTCATTTCATTTTCACAATAGTTCTTCAAGGTTAGTATTAGCATTCCCATTTTGCAGACAAAAACACTGAGGTTCGAAGCATTAAAAAATATACTCTCAATACACAGAGTTAAAAATGATAAAACCAGAAATAAACTTAACTTTGTCTAAACCCAGACACTATGCTCTTTCTAGTATTCCAGAATGAATTAGCAGATCAGCTAGATCATATGTAGCTGACTTTTTTCCCTAATAGCTACTCTTCTTCAGGAGCTGTTTTATTTTAACAGGTGATGACCAAAACTCAGAACCCTTCACCCAAAGCATAAATCACTCCAAGGCTGTGGTTATGAAGACAGCTGAAATGCCCCAGTCCCATCACAAACATGTGACAAGAGGCCTGGTCAACACATTGCCTGATGCAGCTGGAATGGGAATGTGGTACCGTAAGCCTGAGACCTTGTCCTCACCGCAGAGAGTGGGTGTCCTGCGCTTCCTGTGGGACATGCGATGCTTCTCGTCAAGAGTCATTGGTTAAATTGTATTTGTTGATGGCAAGTGCTAACAGAAACACAGCTCAGGTGTTGCTGCTGACATTTTGTTAAATTTGCCTTATGTCTTCAGATGTGCCCTTATAGACATGAGTTTCTAAATATATTGCTGAGAGATTTTTACAGAGAAGAAACGCCATTGGTGGAAGCTGGCTTATTTTGGAAGGACAGCGTATCCTTTGTTTAAAGTGTCTACAAACATAGGGAAATGTAGACAAGCAGGAAAAATATAACTCACTGCCCTAGGACTAAAACAACCATTTTTGATTATTTGAATTCCAAGCTCTCAACCTCATCTCCTTCTCCTTGACCTAATCCATAATTTCTGTTCTTGTTTGATTTATATATTTAAGCTTATCAGTTGATGTGTTTTATAAAAGCAATAGAGAAAATAAAATTTCCAGTTTACCTAAAAAAGAAAAAACCACACACAACGAATAAAACAAAACAAATTTTAGATCGAGGCTTTTCTTTTTTGGAAGTATAGTGATTGTAGCAACACAAGTTAGCCGATATCAAGAAGATCTCAGATTCTTGCAATGAATTCACTCCCTTGCCATTCAAGAAGTTTCCATCTGGTAAAGATACAAAATAGGATTTCATAATTTTCATAATATGAATAGGAATTCATATGCTTGGGGTAGATGGGGATTACTGAGTTATACATCCAGGAAAATAAGCACTGGTTCACTTACCTATGACTCTACCAGGGCAGCGAAGCCCTGGTGAAACAGGAGTGAGGATACCAGCTCCTGGGGGACATCCAACCCCTTCCACATAAGAAAAACTGAAGGAAAAGGAACGAGATCTGTTTTCCAGCTTGTTGGGGAGACAGATAGTGTTCAGACCCAGTGTCTGCCTCACTCAGAGCCAAAATGCTTGGCTTACCAGACCCCCATGCCCACCACACTTGACCCTTTGTTTTAATTTCTGGCCAGCCAGAGCGGCCCCAGAGAAAGGCACGAAATGCTAGCAGAGCCACCCCCATAGACCCCCACATGACATCAACTGCCAGGAAGAGACTGTTGAACTTAAATGTTAGCCTTACGGGATTTGTAGAGGCTCTGGAAAGGCTGGGTAACGCCACCCGCAAGTGCAAGGGAGCTTCCCATAAAAGGTCAACTTGGACCAATGCAACACAAGAGGTGAGGGGAAACCCAGCCGATCTATTGCTCACCCTTTTCTTCCTCTGTGGGCAGCTCTGATACCCATGAGGTCTACATCTGCAAGATGAGCAGCCAGCTGTCAAAATCCACGGCTGGCTTGGCGATGCTCCACTGCCCTTCCCTCTGGATTTCCTGGAACTGCACCCCCCCCAAATCATTAGCTTGCAAGTTTTTTCTCAGGCTTTGCTTTCTGGGATAGTAGTCATGCCTGTCCCAGGATTAGTTCCTAAGTCAGGGGTAGCAGGGCTTTCACACTGGGCATGCGTGACATTGAAAAGAGCCTGCAAGTGGGCCTGGGGAGATCCAGGAACAGTCACAGGTGAGCACAGATGGGAAGTAGAGAAGCTGCGGGGGTGGGAATGGGTTCTCCGCACATGACCTGTGCAGCGGAGACAAAGATCAGAGAGGGGAGGGGCACAGGATCTCCTGCGGGGCTGCACTGCATGTAACCCCTCAGCCAGAACCAGGTTCTCCCACCAGGGGTGCTTCTTCCCAATGAGAGCAGACTGCATGCTCAGTAGGAACTGGTGGAAGGCAGGAAGAAGGTAGGGCAGATGTGAAAAGCAATTTCCTTCTAAATCTGTACATCTGGAAACCCTCATGATGAGGGGTGCCTCTAGGGGGTAAGGAAGAGCCCCCAACTTTAACAGACATGAAAGTCTCCTCCTTGGGGAGGAATACAGGGAATTTCCCCTAAGACTGTAGCTTCGCTGGTTTCAGCAAACCTTTATTCTTCACTCGACAGGAGGTAAAAATAAAGTGTGATCTAAAAAAAAACAAGTGTGTGGTTAGCTAAAGTTATGATATCAGTGTTTGGTGGTGTTAGTCACATCAGTTACACACTCTGAGTCTCAACGTCTTTGGGGAAATCCCCGCAACACCTGCCTCACAAGACCATTAGCAGAATCCAGTGAGGTGATGGGAGATGTCTTTCAATGGCTGCCTCGTCTGGAATGAGTTGGGCTGCAAGGTTCAAAAGAGTCAACTATAGATAGCTGGAATTTTAAGGGCATTTGTTATTTCTCAAGACCCGAAGCCCAGGAGTAATTGCCAGTGTCGGTGAATTCAGGAACCGGAATCAGATCCCCCAGGGGACTTGAGCTTGCCACAGCTGCAGAAATCACGTCCCCACACAATTGTATTGCAGGTTCCAAAAGAGGAAGGGACTCTTCTCTGTGTCTCTCTTTTTATCAGAAAGACAAAATATCCAGGAAGTCCCAATGGACCTCCCCTCAGATCTCATTGGACAGACTGGCTTATACACCCCACTCCAAACTAATCATAAGCAAGGAGGTAGGAGTGCCCAAATTGGTTGGAACCAATCATCATTCATCCCTTGAGCTTGGGGCGGTCCCCCCTCCTCTTCTTAGAGTCCATTACCACCAGACAGGTGAACAGAATCAGAGTTTTGTTGGCACAGAAGTAGGCAATGGCATTGACTAAGAAACCAAAAGTGACAAAGTTGAAAAGTGCTAAAAGAGTATTTTTTAATACACTGTATGACAAACTTGAGGGATTTTTTTATTTTAAATTCTTATGGGGTTTTAGTTTTTATCAAGAGTTTTTTTTTAAAGGTTTTTCTTTTTCACTCTTTTTTAAGATTTTATCTATCCATTTCTAGAGAGGGAAGGGAGGGAGATAGAGAGAGAGAGACATCAATGTGCAGTTGCTGGGGGTCTTCCCTGCTGTGGGCATGTACCCTGGCTGGGAATCGAACCTGCGACACATTGGTTCGCAGCCCGCGCTCAATCCACTGAGCTACGCCAGCCAGGGCTACTTTAGGGATTAAAAAAGAAAGAATAAGTTCCTGTTCTTAAGGACCTTAAAATCAAACCTAATGAAACTATGATACAGATAAGCTTTATTGAAAGAAGGAAACTTTATTCTAAAACTCTGCTTATCCTGTGAATTTGGATTCCCACTCTTTGCAAAACAATGATTAGGATAATCAAGGTGTTTCCCACTTAATCAGTTGGTTCTGCAAAAATGTAAAAAAGAGTGAATGAATAACATGATCCTCCCTTTAGAAATAAATTTCAGCTTATGAAATTCAGAATTAAAGCTCCACTCCTGGTTGTTACAGATTTGAGAAAAAGTCAATTTCTGCACTTTCTTTCTGTTTGGGTTCTGATATGCACCCGCCAGCCCAGGCATTCAAAGCCCTCAGCACCTGACCACAGGTGGGACAGGGTGTCTCGCACTAGGGGGAGACTTCATCTTTCTTGATGGGACTGTTGACACTGTTGACAGAAATGGTACAGGATTTCAAAGAACCGTAAGCAGATTTAGGTGTTTCGGAATTCATAAACAAACGTTTTAACTGACAAAGAACAGATCGGAGTTCCTGGAGGACCCGCCCCCCCGCCACACACACTTTCTTCTTCCTGTCTTTATGCCACTTTCCGTTGCCTCTCTGTTTGAAAATTTGGTCTGACATTAGTTTCTAATGAAACCAATATGTTTATCATATTTGATGGCAGACTCGGTTTTTTTTGCCACTTGTTATTGTTTCCCTTAGGTTCAACTGGCAGCCCCTGCAGATTCCTTTGCACGAAAATGACACCAAAGTTCTAGTGGCGAGAAGCAAATTCTACACCTCCTGATACTGCCAGCAGAAGAGAGCCCTGCAAGTGATTTTCCTTTTCCTTGAGGAAAAAAATAGAAAGGATAAAAGGCCTTAGCAAGAAAACACGCTCACATAACAGAGCAATGGGTTTCAGAGCTTTCTGTGATTCTAAACACTTGGTTGACTTACAGCGGCCCTTTGGCACCCTGGTAGAAGACCTTGGACTTGGGGAACAGACTCAGTTCGCAAGACGAACTTTTATAGTCCCATCAGCCGTGGAGAGAAACAGAGCAGGCCCCGAAGAAAGAATAAATAAGGAAAAAACACGTTGCAACATTCACTATCAAATTATACTTCCGATCTTTTCTTACATCTACAAATTCCTTGCAAATTGAAGTTGTGCAATGTCATTCAATTATCTAGATGCCACTTCAGGGGAAAAAAGGGAAAACAACTTTAGTATAATTTGAAAAGTCTCCTTCCTGAAGACACAAAAATGCTGAAGTCTCTGTTGTCTAAAAGATTTCCCCTTGTTCCACTGTGGTCAGCCATGTCTTTCCTTCCCTTTTCTTTACCTCCAAACTCTCAAAAGAGACTTTACATTTTCTTAAATACTCTCTCCACGCCCTTCTCACAACAATTGTTCTGCCTCCAACAACTTGCTGTTTAGGCATTTCTTAAAATCCAAGGGCATCTTTTCAAATGATCGCCTCCAACTTCTTGAAATATCTGTTAGTCCTATTCCATTCATCCTGCTCATAGGCTAAGACGCCATACTCACCTGAAACCACGGCTTAACTTGGTGTCTCCTAAATGATCCAGGAGGTTCCTAAGGATTCAACCTTCTTCTCTCTCTGACTGTCTCATCTACCCGCCCATGGCCACAAATATCCACCATTTCTGTATCTTAAATTTTACCTCTCATCTAAACAGCAGATACCTGTCAACCTCTGGTTAAATCAGCATGTCAATCAGAAACACCAGGGCACTTCAGAAGGCTCCCTTTTCAGTCTTAGTCCTGCTCCCAATATACCTTGAATAGGGCCCCCGCCCCCACACCGGGATTAAAAGAAGAAATCTTTGTTCTTCTTTAGAATGTCTAAGATCCAGTCAGTCACTCAGTTTTCTCCCTTCCGTGTCTGCAGTTACTTCCCCATCTAAGCTGCAGTTCTGATGGCTACGGTGAAGATCAAGTTCCTGTGACGTCTGCTCTAGGTCATTTCTAACAGATGTTTACCCTGTCTTTTCACGGCCTTCCGCTCACCCTTCCCCTGTCAGAGTTATTTTCCTAACTTACAACGGTGTGTTACTTCGGACTCAAATCCATCTACTCCTTCCTCATTTTCTACAGAACGGAGATCAGTACCCAGTTTAGCATCTAAGATCCTTCGTAACTAGGGTGTCATCAGGCTTTACAACCTGAAACAATCTTCTGTAGAATGCATTGTTTTAGCAGACTAACAGGGTTCACCACGGGGAAGACATACACACAGAATGAAAACGAAACAAAACAAACAAGCAAAAAAATAGAAAAGGCAAGTTGCTTTTCTTTTTTTTAAGTTACATGGCGAAACTTCATTGTTTAACAACGATTGCATTGCCATCTGCTGGATAGGTGAGAGCACTGCAGTTGAAGCAAGTTCAAACATGGAAGGTTGGGTTTCAATTTTCAAAGATTCTCTCTCAATATATCTTTTAATATCTAATCTACTAGCAGATGTTTGCGTTTTATGTAAAAATTACTTTTGACTTAGAAGCACACAGTATCACAATGAACAAATTGGCATGACCTCTGTCGATAAGAGCCTGTGTCTGTTCACCTTTCGATGCTGAGGATGTCCTGGGGAGTCCAAGAAGGAAACCATTCGTGTTAATGGGGAAGCGATGTGTCTCGTCGGGTGTCAGGTGACATTCAGAAAAGTGTTTGCAGATGCCACTCAACAATTCCAATCTTTCTTAACCTGTGAGCCTCAGAACTGGAATTGCATTTCTCAAGGAAGCTTCCCCAGGCCAGGTCTCTGCCTCCCTGAATTTATACAATGTACTATTTGCACATGCCCTTTATTTAGAAAGCTAACCATACTGCACTATACTGGCACGTGACATTTCCTATGTCTGCCTCTTGATATGCAGTAGAGGGCAAGAACCTGGTCTCTAGCATCAACCTGTTTTCAAGCATGAAGTTGCCACTTGGGAGCTGTTATTTCTGTGATCACCTTCATCCCCTGTCAAACAGAGATAAAATATTGACTTCCCAGTGGTTTTAGAAAGACTAAATTAGCCAAAATGTAAAATCACTCAAAATAGTGCCTGTGCTGTAGTAAGTGCTTAACAGTTATTAGCTCATAGCAAGTAGATTGTGGTAGACACACAGAATATTGCTGGACAATGCTCCCAACAGACAGCGGTGAGTCCCACGTATGGTAGGCTTACAACAAATATTACTGAGTGACACGCTTTTCAGCTAATTTAAAATAATTTGGATTTTTAATGCATACAGGTAAAATTCATCACTATTAAAATGTGATGGGTTAATAATCATGCTGGCAATTGAGATAGAGAAAATATCCATTCCCCTAATATGTTCTGTGACCCTGTTCTGTATCCCCTGTTCCTACCCCAGTCCCTGGGGAGCCCCAAGCCTTGGTAACCACCGATATACTGTATTTCACTACAGCTTTCCTTTTCTAGAATAGTATATGAATGAAATCATGCCACGTGTTATTTTCTGTGTGTGGCTTCTGTTACTTAGTGTAGGGATTTTAAGATCCATTTGCACTGTTTTGTATAACAATACTTCATTCTTTTTTATTGCCCATTAGTAACTCCTGGAGAGCTGGATTCTTCCTAACTTTTGGCTGCTGTAAATAAAGCTCCATGTAAATCCATACATAACTCTGTGAAGACATATGTTTTCATCTCCCTTGGCCAAATACCTAGAAAGTTGCTAGGTTGGATGGTAGGTAGATGTTGCAACGCAAGAGAACTACCAAGTGGCTGTAGCGTTTTATTTTCAATTAACAAGGATGAGTTCCACTTATCCTATAACCTTGCAAATACTTGACATATTCAATTTCATTGATGTTAGTTATCCTAACAACTAGCGATATTAAACATTTTTAACCTGCATATTTGATATTCATGTATCTTCCTTGCTGTCCATATATACTTTGCTCATTTTGTAATTTATCTTCTTACTATTGAATTGTAGGATACAAGCCCTTTACTAGATGTGTTTTGCAAGTTTCCTTCCAATCTTGGCCTTTCATTTTCTTAGTAGTTTCTTTTGAAGAGCAAAGTTTTGATTTTGATGAAGTCTCATTTATCATTTTTTCTTTTTTTTCCATGAAATTTTTATGGAGAAATAAATAATTTAGGGAGAATTTAGGACAACAATATTCAGTCTTCTGATTCATTAAATGATGTTTCACACATTTCAGATTTCTTTAATGTTTTTTCTCAGCAATATTATGTAGATTTGTTGTCCATGGCTGGTATGTTTTTTTTGTTAAATTTGTCCCCTAGCATGAGCCACTTTTTTAATGCTGTAGTAAATTGGTGAATGGTACCTTTCTTATTTTCACTTAAATTGTTTATTGCTAACATATACAATTAAAACAAATTTTGCTTATTGACCTTGTAACCTGCGACATTGCTGAAAAGAGAAAAACTTAGTTCTAGTAGCTTTTTGCAGATTCCTTAGAATTTTCTACATACATGGTCATGTCTGCAAACACAGTTTCTTTCCTTCCAACCCACATGGCTTTCATTTTATTTTCTTACCCTGTTCTACTGGTTAGCAATTTGCCTTTTTCTTGATCTTAGAAAGTATTGAGCCATTCTCTATGAAGTATGTTAACTACAGGATTTTTTGTAGATAACCTTTTACCAATTTGACGATAATCTATTCTACTTTCAGTTCGATGAGATTTTTAATCTCAAAGTAGAGAAGACAGAACATACTTAGCTGGAATACAGAACAGTGGAGGACTTGAATACCAAGCTCATGTAGAGGGTCCTTCAGCTGTTACAGGAAGAGGCTGAATTAAAAAGGAAAGCAAAAAAAGAGAAGAGGTGGGAAGAAAACAGAAGGCATTTCACGAATACATGGCACAGCAATGTGGGAGAGAGGAAGTTCAGGGGAAGGACTGGACAAAGTAATAGAGGAACAGAAGGAAAAAAAGGTGAGTTAAGAAGGACAGGGAGCTGAGACTTGGAAAGGAGGCAAGAAAACAACTTGTAAATGAAGTCCTATGTACAAGAAAAGATTCAAATTCAAGAAAGGTTGCAAAGAGAGGAGAGACTTCCAGCCAAGATGGAGGCATAGGTAGATATACAGTGCCTCCTTGCACAACCAAAAGGACAACAAGAAATTTAAAAACAAAAACCAACCAAACTGCTGGAAAATCCAACTGCATGGAAGTCCGACAACCAAGGAATTAAAGAAGAAACATTCACCCAGACCAGTAGAAGGGGCAGAGATGGGCAGCCAGGATGGAGAGGACACACAGTAAGGCGGCATCTAGAAGACCAAGTAAGGCCTTGGTTAGAGGACTGGGGCGGGCAAGGCATTGACTTGTGGACCAGGCAAGGTGGCAGCTGGTGCGGATAAACCAGGAGGAACAACTGGGGAGCAAGACAGACCACACAACACAGGGTTCCATGAGGGGAAATAAAGCCTAAAACATCTGATTGAAAGAACCCATGGGTGTTGAGGTGACAGGAGAAACAGCTTCATGAGAAAGTTCAATGGAGAGACCCACAGGGTCCTAGAATGTATACAAACCCACCCACCCAGGAATCAGCACCAGAAGAGCCCATTTTGCTTGTGAGTAACAGAGGAAGTACCTGAAAGCTGGCCAAGAGCCAAGCAAGTGGCATTATTCCCTCCCAGACCCCTCCCCTACATACAGTGCCACAACACAGCAACATGTATTGTCCCTTCCTGGCAAACACCTAAGGCTCCACCCCTCACTACATAACAGGTGCATCGAGACCAAAAAAAAAAGGCTCACATGAAAAAATAGATCAAAACTCCAGAAAAAATACAACTAAGCAATGAAGAAATAGCCAACCTATCAGATGCACAGTTCAAAACACTGGTAATCAGGATGCTCACAGAAATGGCTGAGCTTCAACCATTTGGTTGCAAAACAGAGAAAAAAGTGAAGGCTATGAAAACTAAAATAAAGAAAGGTATACAGGGAGCCAACAGTAAAGAGAAGGGAAATGGGACTCAAATCAACGATTTGGACCAGAAGGAAGAAATACACATTCAACCAGACCAGGATGAAGAAACAAGAATTCAAAAAAAATGAGGAAAGGCTTAGGGACCTCTGGGACAACTTTAAATGTTCCAACATCCAAATTACAGGGGTGCCAGAAGAAGAGGAAGATCAAGAAATTGAAAACTTATTTGAAAACATAATAAAGGAGAACTTCCCCAATCTGGCAAAGGAAACAGACTTCCAGGAAGTCCAGGAAGCTCAGAGAGTCCCAAAGGAGCTGGACCCAAGGAGGAAGGCACCAAGACCCATCATAATTACATTACCCAAGGTGAAAGAGAAGGAGAGATTCTTAAAAGCAGCAAGAGAAAAGGAGACAGTTAGCTACAAAGGAGTTCCCATTAGACTATCAGCTGATTTCTCCAAAGAAACCTTACAGGCAAGAAGGGGCTGGAAAGAAGTACTCAAATTCATGGAAGGCAAGGCCCTACATCCAAGATTGCTCTACCCAGCAAAGCTTTCATTTAGAATGGAAGGGCAGATAAAGTGCTTCCCAGGTAAGGTCAAGTTAAAGAAGTTCATCCTCACCAAACCTTTATTATATGAAATGTTAAAGGAACTTATCTAAGGAAAAGAAGAAGGTCAAAAACTATGAACAGTAAAATGACCACAAAAACTCACAACTATCAACAATCAAACCTAAAAAAAAGAACAAGCTAAACAAACAACTAGAACAGGAAGAGACTCACAGAAATGGAAATCACATGGAGGGCCATCAGCGGGGAGACGGAGCGGATAGAATGGGGAAAAGGCACAGGGAATAAAAAACATACATAGTAAGTACAAAATAGAGAGGGGAGGGTTAAGAACAGTATAGGGAATGGAGAAGCCAAAGAACTTACATGTACAA